AACCTGATTTGCTGTATAAACTTTCACCTAAAATACAATAAAATATTATTTGGAAAAAAGAAATGTTATAGAAGAAGGTGGAGAAAGATGGTTGATACTGCTGATGTGGACAGACAAGCAGGTACTTTATTCCCTAATCAAATATATGTGAAAACAAAAAGTTCAGAGAATTTTGCCACTGCAATTCAATACAGGTATTCAGCCATAGTTTTCTGAGTCAACACTGTTGAAAGGGCTCTGGACCTGTTTTTAAATGAAAAGTTACACCTACAGCTCTCCCTCTAAATTATACTAGAATGTCATACACACTTTGATGTTTTCATATCTCAAATTAAAATATGATCGTAGACACTGCCACATCACAAAAGATTTTTTAAATGCAAACATTAAAGACTTAATTGAGGTCACAAGGGAACCAAAAATCAGAGACTAATTTAAGCTAAAACAGTGAAGGAATTTTCCTGATGATTTAGTAATCCTACAAATAATGGCCAACTTTTCCTCTTGAATCATGAAAAAACAGACTAGCGAAAGCATATGGTAGCAACGAAATAGAAATGAATTAACAAAAAATAAATAAAATAGTACATTTTTCTTTTTGGTACTTAAATCTCTCATGTAATTTGTCTTTCTGTTTTCATTTCCCTCCTCTTTAATTTCTCATTTTTAAGCCAAATTCATATTTTAAGTTTTTAAATCTAAATGTCAAATTAAAACTTCATTTTCAAATAAGAATAATTCTAGTTGATAACATTACCAAATATGTCAACAATTATCAACTGTTAATCAACTAAGATTTATAAAGACAACTGACATAAACTTTTTTTATAATTAAGAACGCATTTCATAACCTAAGCATCTCAAGAACATCACTATTATCTAGTACATGTGACTTCAAGAAGTTCACGTAAAAACAGAATTAAAGGGACTTCCGGCAAGATGGCAGACTAGGCAGACGTACTACAACAAAGATAAAAGAGACCAAATGAAACAGACACAAATGAAAATCCTGGACCCCTGAACTTCAGAGGAAAAGTTAGAGAAGTGGACTCAGTGCTGGCTGGAAAAAGCAGGTGAGTGGAGATAGTGAGAGAGGGAGACTGACTAATGAATGGCCAGCCAGATGCAGCACAACCATCTTGAACTTTTGCGAGCAGTTTTAGTAACAGAAGGCGGCCTGACATAGCAGATTCACATAGGTGATGGGAAAAGGGATTTCTTCTTTTCCCCACTAGTGACCAGAGGTGTTTTCAACTCCCATCCTCATCTACCCTCAGTGTAGACCCTGATTTCTGGGAGTTTAGAGCCACCTGGTTGTGAGCTGTGCCAGTGTGAGGCGAAGCGGCTGTGCCTGGATTCAAGCAGACTTGGCTCCAGACCTACAGAACCCACAGAGCCATCAAACCAACACTGTTGTTGTTGTTATGTGCTGTGGACTAGGTTCCAACTCATAGTGACCCTGCATAGGGTTTCCAAGGCTGTAAATCTTTACGGGAACAGAAAGCCTCATCTTTCTCCCACAGAACAGCTGGTAGCTTCGAACTGCTGACCGGGCAGTTCACAGCCCAATTCGTAACCACTATGCTACCGGAGCTCCTTAAACCAACATTAGTCTAGCCGAAATCCTCATAATTAGTCAATCTGCCCCCAGGTACCCTGTGGTTCTAACAGACAATGAAAACAGCTTCATCAAGTTACTCCACAAATTACTTCTGGATTAAGTGCCGAATACAGATAACCTAGGCCTATAGTTAAGTAATTCAATCTGGAGCCAGGAACTCCACTTTCACATCCTGCAGGCAAATACCTCATGAGATGGTTGGCTGATAGGAGTTTTCTCTTCTCTGGGCCCAACTGCTGCATTGGTGTTTTTAGCGTTTTCCTATTATTTCATTTGTTTCTTCTTTCCATCCCCTTGAATTTTATCCTTTCTATCTCTCCTTTTGTTTGTTCTTTTCTTCTATTTCTCATTTCCCTTTTCTTTTCTTTTTTTCCTTTTGAGCTTTCTTTACTACTCTCTACTCTTGGTTTTCATCTTCCCTATCCCTGGTTTTTCTAAAGGTACTTTTTTTTTTTTTTAATTTCCCCTTATTTTTCTCTTCTATAGGCCTATTTTCCTGCCCTCTTTTTTCTTATCAGATATTAAACTTTTTCTTGTTGCTGAATTTTTTATTTCTTTTTTTCTCCATTACTATTTTCTCTTTTCATTGTTGGCTACTTGTTTATTCTGTCTTACTTTCGTGCGTGTGTGTGTGTGTGTGTGTGTGTGTGTGTGTGTGTGTAGGAGGGGTTCTCCTCTTTCCCACCCGACAAAAGACAGCTACAGTGCCATACAGGCCAGCC